GTTGGCTATGGGTGGGTGGGGTTGGGGATGGTTGGGTTGGGTTGGGCATGGTTGGGTTGGGTTGGCCATGGTTGGGTTGGGTTGGCCATGGTTGGGTTGGGTTGGCCATAGTTGGGTTGGGTTGGCCATGGTTGGGTTGGGTTGGCCATGGTTGGGTTGGCCATGGTTGAGTTGGCCATGGTTGGGTTGAGTTGGCCATGGTTGGGTTGGGTTGGCCATGGTTGGGTTGGGTTGGCCATGGTTGAGTTGGCCATGGTTGGGTTGGCCATGGTTGGGTTGGGTTGGCCATGGCTGGGTTGAGTTGACCATGGCTGGGTTGGCCATGGTTGGGTTGGCCATGGCAGCTGAGTTGGCCATAGTTGGGTTGACCATGGTTGGGTTGAGTTGGCCATGGTTGGGTTAGCCATGGTTGGGTTGGGTTGGCCACGGTTGGGTTGAGTTGACCATGGTTGGGTTGGCCATGGTTGGGTTGGCCATGGTTGGGTTGGGTTGACCATGGTTGGGTTGGCCATGGTTGGGTTGAGTTGGCCATGGTTGGGTTGGCCATGGTTGGGTTGGCCATGGTTGGGTTGGCCATGGCAGTTGGGTTGGCCATGGTTGGGTTGGCCATGGTTGGGTTGGCCATGGTTGAGTTGGCCATGGTTGAGTTGACCATGGCAGTTGGGTTGGCTCTGGGTGCCCACGACACCATTTTGCGCCCCTGCCGAGCCCCCACCTGCAGAGGGCCATCAGGCACTCCTCGATGGCGTCGCGCTGGGCCTTGGTGAGGGCGCGGCCGCGCGACAGCCGGTAGATGGTGTGCAGCATGGAGTCCACCATGATGGCGCGGTGCTCGGTGCCGGCGAAGAGCGGCGCGCATTTGGTGATGAGCGGCATCACCGCCAGGCACAGGTAACGGTTCAGCGCCAGCGCCATCTCCGTGGTGCTGAACGTGGCCTGGGGGGCACGGCCGGGGGTCACCGTGGGCACCGACGCCCCCGTGGGGGGAACGTGGGGGGCTCGGCCCCATGGGGGGGGATTTGGGGGTGGTGGGTGGGTCAGAGAGAGGATTGGGGGACCCCAAACCCACCCCAAAGAGACCTGGGGCATCCCCAAACCCGCCCCATAGACATTTTGGGGGTCCCAAACCCACCCCGCAGACATTTTGGGGGTCCCAAACCCACCCCAGACATTTTGGGGGTCCCAAACCCACCCCACAGACATTTTGGGGATCCCAAACCCACCCCAGAGATTTTGGGGATCCCAAACCCACCCCAGAGATTTTGGGGATCCCAAACCCACCCCAGACATTTTGGGGGTCCCAGACCCACCCCATAGAGATTTTGGGGATCCCAAACCCACCCCAGAGATTTTGGGGATCCCAGACCCACCCCAGAGATTTTGGGGATCCCAAACCCACCCCAGAGATTTTGGGGGTCCGAGACCCACCCCAGAGATTTTGGGGGTCCCAAACCCGCCCCATAGAGGAGAGATCTGGGGCACCCCCCATATCCACCATTTAGAGGAGATTTGGGGCACCCTCAAACCCACCCCATAGAGATTTGGGGGATCCCAGACCAATCCCATATGGAATATTTGGGGGTCCCAGACCCGCCCCATAGAGGAGATTTGGGGCACCCCCAAACCCATCCCACATAAAAGATTTGGGGCACCCCCATATCCACCCCACAGAGGAGATTTTGGGGGACCCCAGACCCATCCCACAGGGAATATTTGGGGGTCCCAGACCCATCCCATATGGAATATTTGGGGTGACCCCAAATCCACCCCATAGAGATTTGGAGCACCCCTAAACCCGCCCCATACAGGAGATTTTGGGGTACCCCAGACCCACCCCATATGGAATATTTGGGGTGACCCCCAAACCCACCCCCCAGAGATTTTGGGGGACCCCAGACCAATCCCGCAGGGAATATTTGGGGGTCCCAGACCCATCCCATAAGGATTATTTGGGGTGCCCCAGACCCACAGGAGGGAAGGGGGGGGTCACCCCATTCCAGGGACCCCGTGGGGGGTTTTGGGGTGCCCCTGACCCACAGGAGGGAAGGGAGGGACCCTGCAGGGGGTTTTGGGGTGCCCCAGACCCACAGGAGGGTTTTGGGGTGCTCCTGACCCACAGGAGGGAAGGGGGGGATCCCACGGAGGGTTTTGGGGTGCCCCTGACCCACAGGAGGGAAGGGGGGGATCCCACGGGGGGTTTTGGGGTGCTCCTGACCCACAGGAGGGTTTTGGGGTGCTCCTGACCCACAGGAGGGTTTTGGGGTGCTCCTGACCCACAGGAGGGTTTTGGGGTGCCCCTGACCCACAGGAGGGTTTTGGGGTGCTCCTGACCCACAGGAGGGAAGCGGGGACCCCATGGGGGGTTTTGGGGTGCCCCTGACCGTGTCCAGCGAGGCGGCGGCGCGCATGTCGGGCAGGAACCCCACTTCCAGCACGTGGAGCAGGAACTCCTGGCTCTGCACCCCATAAACGCGGTCCAGGAACAGCACCATGGGCGCCTTGTGCTCGGGGACGAAGCTGGCCGCCATGCGGGGTTCCACCACGTTCCCGTCTGGGGGACCCCAAAACTCAGCTCAGACCCCCCAAATCCTGACACCACCCCAAATCCTGACATCTCCCCCAAATCCTGACACCACCCCAAATCCTGACATCCCCCCCAGATCCAT